CCAAACAATAACTAACGTGATCGGTTGGCGGTGTAATAGCTTTAATTTTCTTTGTTACTTTCTTTGTATCATAACCTCTGTTGCAAACACTTGTACATTAATAATAAAAGCACAGTAGGGGTGGGTCTGCACCCTCCTGTTTTCCTAAAAAAAATGCCAACCAAACAGCGTCCAAGTCTTTCTGGAATCAGGCGAGGTAATGGATCAAGTCAGAAACCACTGAAACTAAACAAATGTATTTGAGCTATCCTTTTGGAAAGCAAAGCTCGATTAAAGATCAGACGGGAGGTTAAGGAAATTTTGAGCATTTCCCTTAGGGCAAAGGCGCAAAGCATATGCTTTGGTATTGACTTCTTGATCATCCTCCGCGGACAAAGTTGCAGCCTGAAAGTTGATGAAGGGCGAAAAATATGGTAAAGTTTCCCTTTACCCGTACAAGTTATTGTGTGTTGTTGCGAGGATCACAAATGAACTTTAGTGAATGGCCTCTAAAATATGGTTTGCTGATATGGATTGCTGATATGGATAATTTATATAAATGCATATACATATAGATTGCCGAAACTTGTAGTAGTATACTCTTACTGTCCCGCCTAACCTTGTAGTGTATAGTTTCTCCATCCTAAAATAAGTGTCATTATAGTATTCATGCCGATCAATAGTATTTTAAATCTAACTAGGTTCGTAGAAAATATTAGGGTCACGTTAACACTTGACCTCGCGCTTTAGGAGAGAGCACGACCCCTCCGCGCCACTCCACTCCTCTGCCAGGCGCCCAGAGCCCCAGACCAATTCCGTTTTCAGCAGGCGTGACTTTTAGCCTGTTTGGTTGGCTGGTTCGTATCGTTACTGGTTCGTGAATAAGTACTGCTGGCTGGTTTGTGTGAGAGAAAAATACTGTTCCGGTTGGAAATTTACGATCGTTTACAACAAGCCACAGCTAAACGAACAGGCTGTAGCTGAGACAAAAAAAAAGCACAACATTTTGTTTGAACGGCTATAATTTTTGAATGATGTATTTGTTTTTAATTTTGTTTGTACCGTTGTGTTCTATGTGGTGAGACGAACAAAACTAAATCCCACTTATCTATGTTTCAAAGAATTTTATTTCAGTAGCAATTTATGTGTAAAAATTTGCTAGGAGATTTATGAAATGAGTTGCTACCATGTAATACTAAACTTAATACACCAAAAATATAATAAAGTTTTTACATGGCATGCACAAGCTCGGGAGCAAAAAATCAAAATAAGTTACTAATGTGTAAAATTAAAGTTGCTACTCCAAAAATATAATAAAGTTATTATACAGTGTTTGCTTGAACTTATCACCATGGTACAATGTTTTTCTCTCACAACAAAACAACGTCAGTCGGCTTATCAGCCGCAGAAACCATCAGCCGAACAGCTCATTATGCATAAGCTGGGGGCAAAAAATATTAAAAGGAGTTACCACCATATAATACTATAATAGTACAACTTGGGGGAGGGTAAATTATTTAAAAATAGAAGCTACTGCACAAGCTGGGGGAGGCAAAATTCTTTTGTGGCAACTTATATGTACAATGACTATCTTTTAATGACAACTTATATATTATAGGTGAGGCAACAAATATGCATGATTTAGGAAGACATTCGAACCTAAAAGGGTGATTGAAAAATGTAACAAAAAAAAACTTGACTGAAAACTGGAACTAAAAAACACTGGAAAAAAACAGAAAACCTAAAAATAGAAACTGAAATACAGCACTCAAAATAAAAAACTGAAATTGAGAACAGAAATAAAAAAGGAAATTAAATACTGAAATTACATAGAACATGGAAAAGTGTTCAATCTGATATCCATCAATTTCTGGAATCTCATGATATACATCTCAGTACAGAGAGCCTTGGACCGACACAGCAATAGGCAGGAAATCAGAAAAAAAACTAGTGTTGGAGAGCTCCTGTTGCTGTACGCCTCTACGTGACGAGCGGAAATGGGTGCTGTCCCGCGCGAGTGGGTTGCATAGGAGTGGCGCGCCAGGTTGCGTGGGCTGCGCGTGTCAGCTGACCCGCGTCACGCAAAACGTACGACTGGCCGCGCGTTAGAATTTGCAAAAATATTAGCAACATTATATCTCTAAATAAATTTATTATAAAAATAGATTCAACGATATATATATATATATATATATATATATATATATATATATATATATATATATATATATATAGAGATTTATATATTTAATCCTTGAGTCTAAAAATTTTAGATTAAGCAAAACTAAAACCAAATACATGAGATGCGACTTTAGCAGAGCTACACATGAGGAGAAAGATGTGAGTTTAAAAGGTCCAAGTAGTGCATAAGAAGGATAACTTTCGGTATATGGAATCGATGCTACAGAGAGATAGAGATATTGATGCGAAAGTTAGCTATAAAAAGAAATTTGAAAGCTTAAGATATATCTTAAGAATCAAAGCGAGTAAAATGCCTGAGATCAAGTGCACGACAAAGGCTTCTAGCATTCTCTATGACCACAAAAGCTAAAAGGCAAGTTTTATAGAAAAGCAGTACTAACTCATTAAAGCGAATAGCTATGCACGCCTGTATGAAGCGTCGTCATGTTAGTCTACAAAGATTCAACATGTTCAACAATTGAGTGTTGCGTAAATACTGTTTCATATCTAAGTTTACGCGATATATGGATTTGTGGTCACATAAGAATGGACCGAGTTCGAAACGATAATCTACGTGATCGCCTAAGGGTAGCACCAATTGAAAAAAAACTTATCCAACATCGGTTGAAGTGGTTTGGCCATATCCAGAGGAAACCTCCAGAAACACAAGTGCATTGTAGAGTCCAAAGCCAAGCTAATAATATAAGAAGAGATAAAAAAAAGACCGAAATTAACATGAGAAAGACAATAAAAAGAAATTTAAAAGATTAAGATATACCTAGAGATCTATATTTAAATAGAAATACTTGAAAAACGACTATTAAAATGCCTGAACTATGACTTAGAGCTCTCGATGGGTTTCAACTCTAGCCTATCCTTACTGGACTGAAAGGCTATGTTATTATTGTTGTTAAGTCAAAATTGTAGGTGTTTAACTTATCAAAAAGCGAGAACGACACCTACTTTGAGAAGGGAGTACTGTTATTACGGTAAAGCAGTACTAACTCATGTACAGAGCGAATAGAGAAGTGCACGCCTCGCAGAAGTCCATCGTCATACGTGCATGCCCACGCGGTTGCGACCTCAGTTCAAACATAACGATATATGATGCATAACTAAAGACTAAAAGACCTATCTGCAAAAAGTAAAGCTACTTTTCAGCCATCTAAGTTTACGTCCAATCGTCCATATATGACAGACCAGCACCTGTTCCAGTTTTCTCAAAAATCATGTAACAGCATGAGCATGCCTAGTGAGAGCAAGGACCAAAATGTTCCTTCTTTTCCGAAGCTTGGTTTCATGCTTTGGGCCCTGAAATACATGTTTTTTAAAACGATGTAGTATGAGATATACATTCACATAGCAGTGTAATCTACAGCTAGCATCAAGAGCAACTGGTAGTAACAATGCTGTAACAACTTCTAGAGTTCTAGAACATCAATTGTGATTTCTAAGTACAAGTGTCAATGTATCAGGGTAGCTCTCGACAATTACAAAACACTGGGATGAAATAAGACAAGTCAAGCCAAACGTTGCAGGGTAAGTTGATAAATCTACAGTTTGTTGGTAAAAGAAGATGAAATCAACTGGTAAAACAAGGCAAAATCATTAACTTTGCTGACCAAAAACAGTGCTAGTATATTGACAAATCTACAGATTGTTATTCCATGCCATGTATGAGTTTTGAATTACACTACTAATTGCAATAAGTACACTTAGTTACATGATTAGCTGGACTTTTTTTTTAAGAACCATTTGGTCCTTATATAAAAAGGACGTACCCCTAGTCTTGAGAGAGTTCCATGGGCCTGCATGGGGGTCACCGGACCGGGAGGAAGGCAAAGTGTCGATGGCAAGCCTTACCCTCATACCAGGAGCGCCATTGGATGGCATGCAATGCGAGGAGACCATGACTCAAACCTATGAGACCTTCCGGGTCACAAAGTGTAAGACTCTCTACCGCTTGCACCAGGCCCGCCCTTCCATTTGGTCCTTATATGATAGGAAACATTAATTTCAAACTAACTTGAAGGGCTACTTAAGTGCTCATCTTCCTGCTCTGCAGTCTGCACACACAATACTAATTCACTACTTACCAATAGTCAAATGAAAATAGAGCCCAAAATAATTTGGAAGAATTTGATCAAAGAGAAGTTCAGATTTACACCAATTTGGGGATAAAACAAACTTTTAGAAAGAACAACTCCGCCTACCCACAGAAAATTATACGACACAAAGAACTATTAATTTTTTTATTTTGACATAGTGGTTTGAATTGATCACGTAATGAAACAACATTCAGACTAGCCAAGACACTATATAATCCCCAATTACATTTTCTAATTAAAATTTTGATCTCCATTGATCAACTTGTAAAGTTAAGATCTAAACATGCAATTCTCATGTCCAGGGATCCAAGCAACACAACCATGAGAAGCAAGCCTAGGAATTTGCTGTGAATTTATTCTAAATTAAATTATATAACTTCAAGGCAACCTACTACAGGGAATTATTAGAGTTTTTAGGATCTAAACACGCAATTCTCATGTTCAATAACTAACCTCAAGTAGTAGTTCAGCCATGTAATTGACCATCTGTTTTAGAAGCTCCATAAGTAGAGAAATCCTCTAAAGTTGTATGATTCAGAAAAGAAAATATCTACAGGCAACCAAGTACGGAAACAAGTCCATAAATCATAATGTGAAATTAAGGTTTTGAAGAAAAGGCATATTTTAGTAAGGAAATTTTCACTCGTGACGGACCAGCTAAACCCACATGATGTGTTTTTGTCACAATGGATACCAGCTTGTGAAGAATGCATTTTACACCGTAAGGCTTGGTCAGCCGTTTAATGTTTTCTGGCAAGCAACCTGTACATGACCAAAGAAAAACATAGCATTATGGACTATAAGAGAGGGTGGTGGTGGTGGATTTGTTCAAGCATTGAAGTGCAAACTAAAGAAATAAATTGTTTAGTTGTACGATAATTGTCTGTCAAAAGGAAAGCATTGAGTGAGATGCCCTAAAGAAAATTATGTGATCGTGGTCGAGCCATAGTCACATAAAACGGGTTCACTACCTTCGACCCTCGACCCGGGTTCGTCGACCCCAACCCAGGTTCATGGGTTCATTTTCGACCCGAAGTGTAAAAATCTCTCGCGAGTAGCGTAGCACTAGCGTACCATGTTCCGCGACCCCGTACCTCGACCCCGTCAACCCGGAAACTTTGTGACTATTCGAGCCCCAATGGTTCGGTTTGATGACCAAAAGATGAAACGAAGGAGTAGCAAAGATATTTTAAGTATTTTCAAAACCAAATAAAAGAATTGAGCAGGAACTCACCGAAGTTGAAGTTTTCGTCAACTCCCTTATGGCCATTGTAGCATAAGATGATGCTGGTAGAGTAAATTCTAATTTCACAGCCAGTTTCTCTGGTGACAGATCTGAGATGCCAATTGATTTGGTTTCTACTGAGCTAGCTTCAATGGTTGGTCCAGAGGTGTCCAATGAAACTTGCAACCTGGAATCACTTGATGGACAACTGCAAGTCCCATCAGATAACGGCTCATTTGTTTCTGATGGGGTTTCTGATAGAACATCTAAATCAGTTGGTACTAAAGGTGTATTGTCATCTTTGTAAGTCATTAGGTCCCTGCATTCATTAAAAACAAATCATAGCACCAAATGTCCTATAGGAGTACACGTACAATTAGCTTGGGTAGTTCATCTAAATTCACTATGAATAAATATAGAGAAAACTAGAGTTTAAATCTAAAAGATAAGGGGCAAAGCATTTGATTCGACGGAACAGAAAAACTCTGCTTGTATTGTGTGTACCATTCAAAATCAATAGGGCGTTGGAGTACGCGGCGGTAACCTCCTTTCATGCTTGTAATCGAGAAGTCCCTAACAAATGACAGTCAAAGAAATGCATGCGAAATAAGAACTTGCTCCACTGGCCTAAGTATATTGTGCATAAGGAACTAAAAGGAATATATCCCCAATATGTAAGGCACAACATTTGAAGCCTACATAGATAAATGCCATTTTGAAACCCTCATTTTCCTTCTGGTGAAATCAGAAGGAACTTTCTAGTGGCAGTGTATAATTACAGTTCGTAAACACCACTAAGCTGTCCAAAAGAGGAGTCAGATAGCAAAAAATGGACCTTGTGATAGAGCGACTTACTTGATACCATGGGCGCTCTCTATCAGGCTAATGCCATCCTGTGTCACAAAATTAAGATGAACATTATGGTAATCGTTGGACAAGAAATCATTTGAACGTGTGAAACTCTATCACTTCTTCATACTCTGACTAGAAGAATTACGTATTCCATGAGTTTACCAAAAATTCTGAATCTCACAGATTTCTCTAAAGAAGAGATAATATAGTAACCGATGGAAGAACCACTCTAAAAGTTAAAAGGAACTTCATGACCTAATAGATCATTTCCTCACCATAACTTTCAGACTAAACATATATACTTCATAACTAGATACTCCAAATAATATGCATGTAAACAGAAAATTTTCAAATATATCCTTTCTTGGGCATAAAAGAGCAAAGATGCTTGTACAACATAATTTAGTTATCATTACAGATGTTTCTTCAGTTCATAACACAACGAACCTCTTGAATAACTTAAAAGTTCATGACAAAACTCATTACCTTCTTGGCTATTTCATGATAAATCCTAGCAACTTCATTCTCAGGAAACAATGTTTCTGACCTGCACGTGGAAAAGGGTAAGCATAAGTGATTAACACTCAAATCACAAAAACATACGACATAAGCATATGCTCCTCAGTCCTCACCCAGGCAAAGGGAGGACAACATCCTCAATCGAGTAGACTGCCTTCAATAAATCTTTAGAATCAACTATCTAGAAGAGAAGCGCATGATTGGGAATTTCGTTATAACAGTGTTATGCAAAGGTTTGCCATCAGAAGTATGATCAGTAACGATCTTCTATAGCATACCTTCACAGACTGGATCATTTCTTCAGGAAGTGTTTCACAAGACATTTCCATTTCAGATGAATTAACATGGCTATCATCATCATCAAACGTATCTGTGGTAGTTGCTTCTCCAAGAGAGGACCCTGTTTTGTAAACTAAGTTACCTTCTACAACTTGTGAAATACCTGTGAGTTCAGCCATTAGCATGTAAAGACGAAACAAGAGTACATATTAGCCCCTACTCCCTAGAAAGCCAAAGGTTTTCCCGTTCAAAAAAAGAAAAGAAAGCCAAATGTTAGTTTTAGAACAGCTGGAACAAGAGCAGCAGAATCCAATGCACAAGTAGACTTACCATACTTTTCCACTCTCATACTTGCAGCATGGTTCCATAGGTAACTCTGGTAGCTATGTACATACCTGCACAGCATGGTTCCATTGGAGTACCAGAGCACAAAGTAAATACGAAAAGCCCTAACAATATATTCTGACAGTAGATTTTGAATACTAATTTCTTACATAACAGTGATGTACCACATTCTGCATTACATAATTAGCAATACGAATGAAAATTTAGATAATGTATTGCAACATACATCAGCCTCAGTGTTTTAGGTATAGCCATTAGTGCTTGTAGATAGTTGTCAGGGTACTTCTTCAATCTCTGAAGCTGGAAATGAAAGAAAACAAAGGCTCCCACATTAATGCAATTTAATTCAGACTAACAACGAGCAAGAATGTAAAATCTTAAAATGGTAACAAGAATGGACATTAAAATATGGCATTCATGAATTATCATGATCACTTAGTAAATATTGGAATTGGAACAGAAAATGCAAAACTCAATCTAAGGAAATTTTCTATTTATTACCTCTTACTGTGCAAGTAAGCAACTTTTATCTTTTGGGTGGGTACATTTTGTACAGAAAAAGTAATTGTGTATTACCCGGTGTTTCAAATTGTTAGTAGTAAGGCAGGCTGTATGGTGCTGCCTAGTACGGTAGTACCTAGAGGTGCCTAAATTAGTATAGTGTAAAACACATGTCTATCCAGGCATGCAAATATTTGAGCAACTTTCACCGCTCTGGACCAATTGCCAGGCATGGTTTACCTCTGAGCCTCCTAGTTTGAAACTGAATCTAAAACTGAACTGCTGAACTTAAAATTCATGAGTGGAACTGCACCAAACACCTCAACAGTTACATAGACTGTGTATTGTGTAGTCAAGAAAGCTCTTGGCAGGCGGGAAACACAAATACATACATCTTACATTTTTATATAAGTGGACTCTGTAGGAATAGGACCAATCAAATCCCAGCATCCCAAAACTATGCAGTAAATGTGCTAGGAAGGGAAAGGTGTATGAATTTATTTCGTAACATCTACTATGTTTGCAAAAAGATCAAGAAAACCTACAATAGCTCTCTCCACTGTGAGATGTCGGGGCATGCTCCTAAGTGCTGCATCAACAGCACCATGCCATTTATAATGTACCTGCACGTCATTCATTGCATGAAACTGGTAGAAGTGAAGTGAAGTTTCAAATTTAACATAAATTATTAGTTATTTAACAGGGAAAAAATATCACCTACCCTTGTACCAAGAATCAAGCTAACAGCATGTCGCCACTCTCCTCTAAGCAAAGCAGCACCAACAAAGTGAGTAGGTACAGAACCGTTGCCAAAGCGCTATCAAACACAATGGAAACAAACTATTATGTTTTGCAGAATAACGAACAAAAAATCATTTCTTAAAAGGCATAAGAAGCAAAATGATGAACTACACATCACATAATAACATAAAAATAGTACTAACTTGAAGCATGTTTCCTGTACCTGTAAGCCGTAGTAATTGATAAATCCATTTTTACTTAGACCATTAACTGCAGCATTTATAGCATTGGCCGATTCTGCAATAACATTCCCGGAAGAGATAAAAGAAACGGGAAACATGAATTATCTGTTCACTCTTTAATTAGAAAACAAGATCATGGCCTGAGTAAGTGGACCAAAGATAATGGCGCATAATAAAAAGGGCGTACCCAGTGCAGAGAGCTCCCGCTCTGTGCGGGGTCTGGGGAAGGGTGTCAGTGACAAGCCTTACTCTCGCCTGTGCAATGCGAGGAGACCGCGACTCGAACCCGGGACCTTCCAGTCACAGGCGGTAAGACTCTAACGCTTGCACCAGGCCCGCCCTTCAAAGATAATGGCGCATAATGATGGACAAAATTCTAAAGTTCCTTATAAGTTGTAACTTAAAACTTATAACCACTGATACACTGTATTAAAAGCAAGCCACCAAGCATTTTGTCGCGACTCTAACGACATGTTTCAAAGTGCACGTGCAGCATAAAAATTGGCCAAAGCGCAAGCAGTTTCACGAAGACCATTCATGACATACGACCAGCATGCTATGCTGCCAATAGTGCCATATATAGAAAGGAGAGTACGCACCTCAAAGTAATTGCAAAGTGGTTCCCTTTGAGCTGACCAAGAGTAAGGCCCTCCTTCACGTAACTGAAGAGCCATTTGTAGCTAAGTAGTCAGTGATTTTAAATAAAGGGGTTCATAGATAAATGCTTCACTGGTTACCTAAAGTCTCCAACTCTGATACCTGCGAGTTTGCTATTAAGAGCAGCCAACCTACTAGCATGCACTTTTAAAAGTGTCACCTGATCAAAAGGCAGGGAATCAGGACAGTGGGGGAAAAAAAGAGAGGTGTTGGTGATGCTTCACACTGAGATCAGCCTTTCATCGAGGCTATTCAAATACTTTGTTTCCCGACCAGACCATATTGACCCAGATTGTCCAACAATAAACCGATAAATGGGAAAAACTCAGGGCATACCTGTTGGGTTGTAACAGCACGTTTATCCTTTGTCCCTGCAAATCCAAACGATCTTGGCTGTGAAAATTAATACCACCAACCAATCAATGGAAGCGATGAGAATTGAGCAACTCAACAGAAAACTTGTGAAGTACTTTGATGAAGTAAAACATGGAGACCACCTGAACCCCTAGCATCTTTCCTATAACTCCTAGTGCCTCTTGTGTGTCCTTGTTCTCTTTGTAAAGGTGAAACCTGGTAATATTTCTTACTATTACCTACTATATTTCAAAATCAGAATACATGAAATAGGAATCACAAGTCAAATTCGCATCCCAACACATTCTTATATCAGCAAGTCATAGATGCATATGACAAAAAGAAATGGCAGCACCTCAGGAACTTCCCCAGGTGATAAGGCCAGGATGTAGAGCCTCTACTGTCAAATGGCTTGTCATCTCTCCAGCCTGAACTGTCCATGCCTCTCCTGTTCCTTCCCCTCCCACCACGTGGCCCTGAACCCAAGCGCACCCTAATACATTTATGAATGCCATCGCTGTGCTCAACCGTATCCGTGTTCAGGAACTTGAAATTCCTCTTGATGAACTCGTGCACCTCCTGCACCAAAAACAATTACAACAGAGCAGGTGACACACATATCATCCAGGCATCCACAGAAACCACGTTCGGGATAACCAAACTCACCGATCGATGGGCCTTATCTGAATCAGCTGACAGAATGATTGGCGACAAATCACCATCCCCTCCCTCCGAAACCCTCTCCAGGAATCCCCTCAACGCGTCATAATCCACTTCGCCGCAGAGCAGCCGGAACGACTCGAGCGCCCGCGATGGATCCGCGGTGGCGTCGCATCCGCCGTCCTCCACATTATCTCCACTCTGCAAATCCACAAACACCAGGCAGCCGAAGTGAGGTCAGAGCCTCGGACATGGCGGATAAGATTACAGCCCATTCCACTAATCCAAGCCCGCAGCGTGGGAGTTCGGGAGAGAAATACCTCCTCGCCGTCGGGGAGATCGAAGGAGGTGAGGCGGACGAGGGCGCCGTCTCGGGCGACCTCGTGGACGACGAAGTCGGAGTAGCGCTGCTTGAGCGCGCCGCGGATGCCCGGGATGGAGGAGGCGAAGCGGGAGACGCCGACGTCGGGCTCGGCCAGCGGCACGCGGCGCGGCGTGGGCGGATGGGCTGCAGCACGGGCGCGGAAGTGGGCGGCGGGCGGCCGGGAAGGGGGTTTAGGGGTGAGTAGGGGCAGGGGTTTTAGGAGGTGGCGACCGCGCATTCCGTCGGGGGCGCGGTGGGAGCACGGCCGCCGGATTGGGGAGACGGGGAGCAATCTGCTATCCCGCTTGTACGCGCGCGGGCGCTCTGTTTCTTCTTCACGCAGGGGGTAAACTGAGCAATGACGTGGCAGGCGCGGGCCGTCCGGCCTCCGGCGTGGGCCGTCCAGCGGGTATACGTATGTGCTACTGTGCTACTCCCTCAGTTCTTTCAGAGCGTTGGACTAAGGACTTGTTTAGTTTTCAAAAATTTTTCATCCTACAGTAAAAGAGCATATTTGATATATGTATAAAGTACTAAATGTAAATGAAAAAAAAACTAATTACATAGTTCTCGATAAAATCGCGAGACGAATCTTTTAAACCTAATTAGTCCATGAAAAGCCTTAAGTGCTACAGTAACTCATGCGCTAATGACCGATTAATTAGTATCATTAGATTCGTCTCGCAGTTTCCTGATGGTTTCTATAATTTGTTTTTTTATTAGTATCCAAAACCCCCTCCCAATATCCTTCCGACACATCTGATGTGACACCCAAAAATTTTCACCTCCCAACTAAACACACCCTAAGCTTGCAGGCGGGTTGGTTCATGGCCGACCACTAACCCGCGTCGCTTGCCACAAAGTTTATTGGCGGGTTTGCGCCCAGTCACCGAGCTATCTACTTTGCGGGACAAGCCTTCCGCGAACATAATATAATTAGCTGCAAAACCCGTAGGGCCTGCCGCACGCACAGCATCCCTCAAATATCTAGTGGCCAACAAGTGAAAGAAAGCTGCGAGGTACAGGAACAAGATCATAATAACGGGCACATGACCGGCACAACGATGAACCAATTGACCTTGTCGGCGCCGTCCTGGAGCGTGGCGAGCACCGTCGACACGAAGGCGCCCATCGATCCATGCATATGCAATTAGCTTGCTAGCTATAGCTCTCAAATGACAAATCGATCTCTTCACTGAAAAATACGTACGTGCAGGCGCATATATACATATGATACGTAGGTCGATGCAGGCCTTGTGGGAGCGGCTCATCGGCCGTAGGGGCAACTCGTCGCCGGTGTCGTCGTCGGATTCCTCGTCGGCGTCGTCATCGGGGACCTCGAGGATGAGGCGCGCGTGGAAGTTGCGACGACGATGACGGCCTCGAGCTATGGGCCGCTGGTGTTCGTCGTCGTGGAGGAACAGCCGTAGAGCCTCCGCCCGATGCCAGACTATCGTGACGACACTAGCGGTAGGGTTCGGGAGATGCGGGTTCTAACAGTTTTCTCTATTGTCCAACGGGCTCGGCGGGTTGAAAGACGTTGGCCCACAAAGAAATCGCAGCTGAGCCACAATAGCCACGAAGATAAATTTTGCGGGGGCGGGCTACGCTAACAACCCGCCCCACCTGCAATCGTAGTTGGGACCCCTGCACTCCTAAGTTTTCAGGTTGGATATAACGCTTGGCCACGCCGCGCCTCACTCCGCCTCCCTGCGACGCTTGCTATCTCCCGTCGCCCGCTCCATCCACGCGGTCGGATTCACCGCCTCCATCGCGCCTTACGTTGGAATCGGCATCCCACCAAGACTAGCGCCGCTCGCCTGCGGCCACGCGCCCATCCGCCTGTTGCGGCCGCCGTCGAGGCCCGTGTCGCCGTTGAGCTTTGCATCAGTGACCTCGCGCCCATCCGCCTGTTGCGGCCGCCGTCGAGGCCCATGTCGCCGATGAGCTTTGCATCAGCGACCTCTGCGGCACTCTATGGTATTGAGCTCCACACCGACATTGAGCTCCACGTCAACCGTATGTTTCATGCGTTTTAAATATATGTTTCATGTGTTTTATCGGTATGTTTCATGTGTTTCATCTGAATATTGCAAAAGTAGACATGATGTTGTGTATATTGCAATGGCTACATACGTATGTTGCATGTATATGTTCAACATGTTTAAGCTATTTTAGAAGTGTGTTGTAAATGTATGTTCCAAGTATTTTAACTGTTTCAAATACATGTTGCAAGAGTAGACATTGTCAAATTACATTGGGACATCACAGTTTTTTTATGCCAATGCTGCTAGAACCATTTCTGCAAAATTCAAGCAGATCAAATCAGGTTTAAAATCTTAGAGCAGAAGGCTTTCCAATCTAAGTAAACTAATTTACAACTGTAATTAGGTTTTCCTCTTCCTTGATGGCCTAGAAGAGCAAAGATGTTTGTCTGGTTTTGAAGTGTGTCTGAGATCAATGACCAAAGAGCACCTGCAAAAACTTTTAGAAGCTAGAAGAATTAATTGGAAGCAAAGAAATACAGTAAGATGGGTAAAACTTGGAGATGAAAATACTTCTTTCTTCCACACCATGGCTACAATTGCACACAAGAAAAACTTCATTGCAAGTTTGTCTTCTTCTGATGGTCACATCTTGACTGATCATAATCAAAAAGCTCATATGCTCCTGGAATCTTTTAAAACAGAATGGGTCAATGTGAGTTCAGTGGTATTCACTATGACCTTAGCTCTCTTCTCACTACAACCAATTTAGAACATTTGGATTCTGATTTCAGTCCAGAGGAAATTAACAGTGCTATCAGATGCCTCCCAAACAGCCGTGCTCTTAGCCCAGATGGATTTAATGGCTTGTTCATTAAGAAGTGTTCGAATACTGTCGAAGATGACTTTCTCAGGTTATTTAGGGATTTTTGTCATACCAATTTAGACTTGAGAAGCATCAATTCTTCTCATATTGTCTTGATCTTAAAGAAATCCAATCCTGAAACAGTGGATGACTTTAGACCTATCTCTCTATTGAATTACTCAGTGAAATGCATCACTAAAATCCTTTCCATCAGGCTTCAATCAGTCATTCTCAAGCTAATTCACACCAATCAATATGGTTTTATAAAGGGGAGAACAATTCAGGACTGTCTTGCTTGGGCATTTCAATTTCTTCATCTCTGTCATCACTTTAAGAAGGAGATAGTCATTTTGAAACTAGACTTTGAGAAAGCTTTTGATAAGGTGGAATATCAAGCAATCCTGCAAATTCTCAAGTTCAAAGGTTTCTGAGACAAATGGGTTGGATTAATAGTATCCTAAGCTCTAGCACCTCATCTATCATTTTAAATGGTATTCCTGGGAAACCATTTAACTGTCTTAGAGGGGTTAGGCAAGGGGATCCCCTGTCGCCCCTCCTCTTTGTTCTAGTAGCTGACCTGTTGCAAACCATTGTGAACAAGGCATGGCAAGGTGGAGTCTTGAAACATCCTCTCACTGGAAATTTTGGAGGGGACTATCCTATTGTCCAGTATGCAGATGATACACTTCTCATCCTACCTGCTAAAGCAAGAACCTTGTTTAATTTGAAAGGCCTGCTAAGGAGCTTCTCAGACTCAACAGGGTTGCATGTTAACTTCAGTAAGTCATTCTTGGTACCAATTAACATGACAGCTGAAAGAGCCTTGCACCTTACAAATACTTTTAGATGCAAAGTAGGAGAAATGTCTTTCACATATTTGGGGTTACCACTGGGCACCACCAAACCATCAATTCAAGACTTCACACCTCTCCTATCCAGAATAGAAGGGAGACTTTCAGGGATCAGCAAGTTCTTATCTTACCATGGAAGGTTGATTCTTGTCAACTCAGTGTTCTACCCTCTCCACATTTTATATATGCACTTTGCAGATACCCCACAAGTCATCAAACAGATTGATAGATATCGAAAGCACGGCCTCTAGAGTGCAGGTGACATACATAGGAAAGGTACATGCCTAGCAGATTGGGAAAGTTCATGCAGACCTAAGGAAGAGGGTGGTCTAGGTATCATTGACCTGAAAATTCAGAATTCTACTCTGTTGCTGAAGCACCTGGACAAGTTTTATAACAATGTTACCTTACCATGGGTGAATCTAACATGGTCTAAATTATATGGAAATACATGGACTCCACCACATGCTAGGAGTCCTGTCGGCTCTTTTTGGTGGAAGGATGTCCTTAAGTTGTTTGATAAATTTAAATCCTTTACTGTCTGCATTCCAAACCAAGGCAATTATGTGCAATTATGGGGTGATAATTGGAGTGAATCTATTCTGAAGAATTCTATGCCTCAACTGTTTTCTTTTATCAGAAAACCAAAATGCTCCATCACCTTTTTGCTAGAGCACCAGCAGCTTGAAAGAATCTTCAGCTTTACCATTACCTGAACAGGCAGCACAACAATTGACAGATTTGCAGGAACTACTCGAGGCTAGTGACTTAGACGAAAACATCAATGACAGATGGACATATACTTAGGGGACCAGTGGTTTCAACACAAGGAGAGTTTATAATCATTTACATGGTGTTTGGGAGGCCTCACACTATTCTCATGGCTTTGGTCTTCAAGTAATCTTGGCAAACATAAGTTTTTCTTCTGGTTGCTTCTCAGGGATAGACTAAATACAAGGAATTTGCTTAGAAGGAAAAATAAGGTAACATTGGGCTGGAAGAGAGTGCCTTTCATCTGTTTTTCGAATGCCCTTTTAGCCAGAGCTGTTGGCACTATCTCAATATTCATTGGACTCTGAATCTTCAGCCGTTGGACATGATCATTGAGGCTAGAACAAACTTCGGAAGCATCGTTTTAAGAGAGATAGTAGTAACAGCATGCTGGATCATTTGGAAAATGAGGAATTGCATCATTTTTGACAATGCCTCCTGTAACCTCTCAGTTTGGAAGAGCAACTTCAAAGAGAGCTTGGACTGGTGTGTATCAAAGCCAAGCCCAGCAGGAGCCTCATTTTGAAACAGTGGCGAGAGAGTCTCTTATGATGTATTTCATTTCTTTTTTCTTTTGGGCCTAGTAGCCCTCGTAAAATGTAAATATCTGTAAAGTTTTGTACCGTTTATTAATGAAAATGAAAAAAAATCAGGTAGGGAATTTCCCTGCTGACTTGTTCAAAAAAGAGTAGACTGCATATGTTGCGACGGTAGGACGAATGTTGCAGAGGATATGAGACATTATGACGGGAAAGAGGCGTGGCGA